TCAGTCAGAGTGCCGAGGGTGCGTCAATGGCTGAATCGTTTGCAACATGATATTAGGAGCATATTATTTAGGAAAATAACTCCTGGCAATATATGCAAAAGCATTGCACCAGCTGAAGTAGTGTCGTTTAACGTTACTGTATCGCTGAAGGAATGTAAGACGTCAGGAGACGCGGTGGTAAGCGTAGGAGTAGGCGGCCTTCGGGACGTGGTAGCCCTGTACATTACTCCAGTGTGCGGCTGCGAATGCGAAAAGCTAGAAAATCAGGTATTGATGAATAATTGCGGTCTTCTCATGTGAATGTTCTAACCTCATTTACGGGCTGCAGAAGGTGGTATAACGGTCTGTGACGTTTACTCTAAATTCAACTCGCTCATTAAACATCCCTTGATACAGAATGGCATCGTTTAAGCCTAATAACGTTTCATTACAGGAAATGAGTTCTCCACATTGCAGCTCACGAGGTAAACTCGTATGTGGAAGCTGCGTCTGCGACCAGCGTTACACTGGTGACATTTGCGAATGTGAAATACCTCCTGAATTAAAGTCCGCAGATGATCTTGTGAATCTTTGCAGAGGAAGGCCGATGGATAAAGTGTGTTCTGGACGCGGAAAGTGCAAATGCGGTGTTTGCGAGTGCAACGCGCCTCATATAGTAAGAACGCGGAATTGTACGCAATGTTAAGATGTATTTATGGGTCTCGTCATTGAAAGGTTGGCAATTTTTGACCTACAAGTTTGGCTTTGGCTTAAATGAATAGTTTATTGCAAATCTAATTTTAGCATTTTTCTGGTGCATTTAGAATATGGTTGTGTTAGTTACTATTTTTAGAAAAACAGAAGTCCAAATAAAGCCTTTATTTCAGTGGAAAGCTCCAGGATGAATCATCTTTATTATTAGCTTGAAAATATAGATACGCTGCTGATTCATGGGTGGTAACACAAAACCACAAATTTTGACTTTTTTAGTACCAGCGCGTTTCGCTACACACTCCGTATCATCATCAGGCTACAACTGATTATGAGGCTACTGTCTGTCTGATTATGTAGATAAAATGCCTCGATAAAAAGCGTATGACTGACTGACATCAGACTCGTACCGTCACATTCATGCTTTTGAACTTTAGGTTTTAAACATTGTCACTCATTCGATGGTTCGAAATTTTTCTCTTATCAACTTCGTAGTTGATAGGTCTTTCCTCACCTTTCACTATCACTACATTTTACACCAGTATTCATTTTACGTCCGATGTTTCATCGCAAAAATATGTAGGTACTGCTTTATCGATAGGCCAAACTTTGACCTTTTGATTATGGACACATGTATCTGACTGAAGGAGTGCATCTCAGAAACAGCGTGTTCTGCAATGCCAGAGATATCAGCATACCCGAGGCGGACTGAAGATAAGTGTTCTTTAACTCGAATATTAAATTGGTGGGTCTTTCTATCGTTTATACGTATGATCTACACTGGGATAAATATCCGGATCAAAAACACTTATCTGCAAACAAAATCCAGTGACTTGAAGAGTTAAATGCTATATTTAGATGCGCGGGCATATTAATCCCTATTTTTGGTTGTTTTATTTGAATATTCATCGTCTCCCTTCTAACAGATTATTATTTTAACGATGTCAGCTAACGCTTTTACTGGTTGTTTTAGAATTCGGGAAAATATTGCGAATGTGACGACACGTCTTGTCCTATGTATAACTCAATCCTGTGCGGAGGTGAGACCGTAAATTTTCATCGCAGGTTTTAGCTCTTTTTTAGGTCACGGAGAGTGCAAATGTGGAATTTGCCAGTGCGAAGGAAAGTGGATAGGGTCAGCCTGCGAATGTTCAACGAATGCCAGCAACTGCTTAAGCAGCAATGGGGTAAACGCGTGAATTAGTTGAAATATTACTCGTCTCGATGTTAATCTGAGCCAATTAGAGGCTTACAATGTCGCCTAGAAGCTCTACGCATGCTGCGCCGCCGTACAACATGTCACATGCTCCTGTTTGATTCTAAAAGTGCCAATTATGAGCATATCTATTTCCTTATTTTCAGCGCTGAGTAGTTCTTCTTTGATATCCTGTCAGTGGAACAATCTTATAAGGCTGCCCTCATTTCCACCAATGTGTTACTCACTGCACCATTGCCTCAGAAAATTATGGATCGACAATCATTCAACAACGGAAAAGCGGTTGCTTCTAAAAGGAAACCAAGCCCGAATCGAACTGCCACTCTGACATGAGAATATCCAGTCGCTTAACCAATTTATAGATACGTCTAAAAATAGTTCATACATTAGCTAAACTTCATTCTGAATCGTCAGTATGCCGACTAACTGAACGACCGTAAACTTGAAAGACGGTCTCAAGGCTGCCTTCAATAGGTTTACTTCTGAACGAACCTTACTTCGCCTTTATGTTAATTTGAAACATATTTTCCAACTGGTAAATTGTACCATTTGTTGACATTTACTCAATAAAACAAATACTCAATCGAAGTAATACTCAATTGTCATCTTGCATATGTCTTTAAGCTTACAGGCGCAGAGTACGCCATCGTTCCTTCGCAGCTTGCGCTCACTGTAGGTAGGGATAGCACTGAGTATTATTCTCTGTTGGTACGTCATTACTTGTCCTATCATCATCTCCTACAGTTTCAAAAATCCACAGCTTGTCTTTAAGACCCTAGTGTGTAAAGTTGGAGGCAATTCCTTGATCATTCGCCGTATCCTTCTATTCTATCCATAATAGCTGTATATATAAGCTCAGTTTCGAGCTTCTTTGTCTCAGCTTTGAGGATTCGCTGTGGCTGGCCGTATGCGCCATTGACTCAGACGCGACGTGCAACATACCAGTTTGGATGAGCGCAACCCGTAGACCTGCGAAGTAATACGTACACTGCAATCTGTTTTGCCTTACAACGTTGGCGCATCGTTTCTATTTCTACCGTTACCGTTTAGATGATTTGCAATAATCACGGTTCCT